CTCCCGGCATCCCCAGCCACCCTGGCCCCCGGCCACCCTGGCTCCCGGCACACGCCTGCTGCGGCAACAAGCTCTCCCCACCCAGCTATCCCGCCTCCCCCAAGCCCCTGGCCTGGGGCTCTCTGAGGTTGTGCTGCTGCTCCCTGTTCATTTCCCGGGGCGGGTGATGAGTGTTAGTGACTAGCTGAGATCATTTACAGTTAATGGATTTGATGCGGGAAGGCTTTCCCACCTCCCCCAAACCCCTGGCCTGGGGCTCTCTGAGGTTGTGCTGCTGCTCCCTGTTCATTTCCCGGGGCGGGTGATGAGTGTTAGTGACTAGCTGAGATCATTTACAGTTAATGGATTTGATGCGGGAAGGTGGCTGGCAGTGTGCTCGTAGAGCTCTCCCAGTGCTCTAGATGAACAGCCTCTATGCTTGGGGCATGGTTCCCAGTGCTGGGAGCCTGTTTACACCCACACTTCACAGCGCTGTAACTTGCTGTGCTCGGGAGATGCTTTGTCACACCCCTGAACAAGAAAGTTACAGCTCAGTGACCTGACAGCCTGGTAGCACAGCAGTATAGACAAGCCGTTAGTCTGACTGCTTTCAGTCAAGTCACAGGAATGATTTGACATCTGATCAGAGTTTGTTGGTTTGTGGAATTAAGTGGGCTCTTAATTCAGTGACCCAGTCCTTCTCCTGCAGTTGTCATTCGTCTGGTCCTTTCTTTTTCTGCTCAGCAGAGGTGCCCCAGGCACTGAGCTCCCCATATTCCTGCGGTGAGGGTTTCCTTCTGCGAATGCACAGCTAGAGAGCTGGGTTCTCCTCTGAATTTACACTTGTAACTGTCAGAATGATACACGATTGTACACGCCATACTTGTAACTGTCAGAATGATACACGATTGTACACACCATGGTAAGAACATAAGAATGGCTGTACTGGGTCAGACCAAAGGTCCATCTAGCCCACTAGCCTGGTGTCTGTAGTTCCTTGTTTTCAGGATTCGCACTAGGGATATAATAGTGCAGTCGATTAACCGATTATCTGATAAGCAAAAGCTTATAAGTTAATGCCATAGACTACACGCATTTCCTTCCCCTCACCAGGCAGGGGCTGCTGCCACCCTGCGCTGTTGCCTCTGTATCAGAGGCAGGAACACAGGGCGACAGGCTGGTTTTTAAACTGGCTCTCCTCGTGGACCGGCTCCCCCCGACACTGTAGAGTGGCAGGGGGACTCCTCAGGAGTGGGGCTGAAGTGCACTGGCTTCCAGCCCTGCCCCCTAGGGACTCTAGAATAGTCGGCTAACTGATAAGGATTCATGAGGTTACTCAACTATTCAATTAACCGATATTGAACACCCTCACTTTGGCTGACAGTGCCCTCCCTTGAACGTATGTGTTGGTTGGACCCCCAGTTCCTCAGAGTTGATAGCAGTCTGCCTGGAATAGTCTTTTGTTCTCCATGCCCCTGAATCAGTGTTTGGCAAACTTTGGGGTGGTTTTTTTGCGGGGGGGATGGGCAAGTACTTGCAGTGGCAGGGCAAAAACTGAGGCCAAGAGCAGCGCATATGAGGAAAGTTCCATGGTTTTGGGGCCACCCCTGTTGCACACATTCCCACAGCTGCTAGTAAAACAGGCACCGATTGAAAGTCTGTCTTGCACCACTTGCAGCTCCTTGTTCAGCTCACAGGTGTAGGGAGGAAACATGGGCCATCCCAAGCATTTCCTTTCTGCTCCCTTGATGTTCAGCTTAGTTCCAGATCACGAGCCCTGGCACTACGGAGCCACCCATGGATGCTGTTGTTCCCACCTCAAGCAGCATGCAGTCTCCTGGTGAGTCAGGGAGCAGGGAGAGGAGCACAGAAAGAGACCAAGAGTGGAGAAAATGGGGCAGCTGTGTCATGGTGTGGGGGAGTGTCCTCCCTCGGCACACCAGCCAACATTGGGAGCCGCTCCCCTCAGCGAAAGTTCTGTGAGCTAAACACTGGCCTAATAATACTTTGCCCTTATAGTGCTTTCTGCCTAGTGGTTTTCAAGGTGGGCAACTTCCCTGCCTCCGTCTCCCATCTATAAACATCCAGTTCTGTTCTGCAAAATAATAGCGCCACATAGTTCCTGTTTATCATTTTACAAGTGAGTGAGTATTTCTTCTGGTCTCTAAGTGCCTAAGTCCAGCTGGGGGTGTTCCTCTGCATTCATTCTCACCAGGAGTAGTTTTGATTAAATTTTGTCTTCAGTAACTCGTGCATCCCCCTTTGTGATGCTTAAATTCATTAATGTCTGTCACATTTTTGGTAACCAATAATGGAAAGCGCTAGAGAAGTGCAAAGTATCACAGAGGCTGTAATCAGTTACCTTCCAAAATTAGTTTATTGTAAAAACAAGCTATTGCAAAACCCAGTGAGTAAATATTTAATTATTCTTTTTTAAAGACTTGAAACAGTTTTTAACCCTTTTCCCCTGCAGTGTTGGAAATCTATTTAAAAGTGGAATTTACTACAATCTATCAACAGAAATGAAACTGACTAATCTCTTTTCATTGCCCTATAAAACATAAGTCATGAACAGTAAATCTCGTTTAAGTCTTTTAGTTCCAGTATAATGGTGAAAACCATAAGGCGGCCTGCTGGTGTTCTGTTTAAAAAGTACGAGAGGGTTTTTTCTGTAATCTTCATTTGTAGAAATTCATGCTGCTAGTTGTACATGATTGGCTCCTGAAAGTAGCAGTGCTATTATTGTAAACTGCCTCTAAGCCACTTTGTATTGTCGCTGTGTTTTGAGCCTGGTTATTGTTTTCCAAGCCTGCTCTGGCCTGTGCAACTTGATAAAGCCAAATTTTCCAGGATAACGTGCATCAAAAGTATGTCACTCCTTTTGCATATTTATTTCTAGGCTGCCAAAACGTTTAAGTGTCTTGGGAGAACAGCAGTGACAAGGTCCCTGACCCAGAGTTGCAATCTAAATAGTGTGCAGGCAGGGGCAGCTCGTGAGCCTAGGCAAGCTAGGCAGCTGCCTAGGGCGCCGCTGGCCCGAATGGGGGGGCCCCCACCCCCCCCGCCCCGCCTAGGGCGCCAGCTGCTGCAGTCGGCCTCAGGCCGCTCCTGTGTGCAGGCAAAGGAAGGGGGAGGGTTAGCACGTTTTGTCCCAGGTTATTAGCACCCTTTTTAGCTTTGTGCACGGTTCATCTGTTTTCTTGAAAGTGGTTGTAGAGACCAGGATTTATAGGACTTCCCAGAAAGTCTTTAAGGAGAACTTAAGAAAAAAAAGCTTGTTAGACCATGGAACTTGGGGTGGGGTGTGTGTGTGTGAATGTAGCCCATGAGTTACTTGCATAACTTCATGAAATAGAGTCTGTATCTTTCAGAAGGTAGGCCTGTTCGGTGAAGTCTGGAATATTGTTGGCATATCCACATGCACAGGGCTCGACGAATCTCTGTATCTTTCAGAAGGTAGGCCTGTTGGGTGAAGTCTGGAGTATTGTTGGCATATCCACATGCACAGAGCTCGACGAATCACTGAATCTACTCGCCTGTGGCGAGTAGATTTCAGCCAGTCGCAGCATTCACCGGCGGCGCGCACATGCGCAATGCGGGTCTTGCTCATGCACAGTGCAGGGCTGGCGAGTAGGTTTTGCCACCGTTTGTCAAGCCCTGCAAATGCAAATCCTTTTTCTACATCTAAAAGCACAGCTGTTAGTGACTTGTGCCGCACTCCCCAGACTTCGCTATACTCTGCCTGTGACTGCAGGGGCGGGCAGAGAGTTGGGGAAGCTACCAGTGGTGGTCTTGTAATTTAGTCTCAGCTATTCATCTCCTGCACTGTGACGTGCTGTTTTACTCCAAAGGACAAGCTGGATCACCTTATTCCTGGCCTCCAGACTTAATTGCTGCAGCAGTTGCGGGGGTGCTGGCAATGCGAGCACTGTATTTTGTGGTCATCACATGTGGCTGGCTGGCGGCCTGGTGGTTGGAAGCCTAGGCCCTCTGGAGGCCAGACTCATAGGGCTGTCAAAGATTTCACATGGGGTTTGTAATCCAGGTCTCAAAGTTGGTCGAAAATCCTCTTAAATACCGGCCTGGCCAGCGAGACCAGGAGGTGAACTTCTGTGTAAGAAGTTGCCGAGGGTCCGTTGCCCGCACCGCCTCGGAAGGGAGCTGGACTGCGACACACGTGGTCCGTTCTCCCAAAGCCGATGACTTGGCTTGCGTCCCTGGGCGTGTGGCAGTGAAGGGCAAAGGTCTGTCTCTCCCTCGCCTGAAGAGATCAGTCAGAAATGTAGGGCAAAGTGCACGGCGCAGCTCTGAGCCAAGATGACGTGGCTGAGGGTAGGGGACACGTGCTGCTTTGCCAAGGAAGCGAAGTGCGGGGTGCCTGATGAATCCCTGACTGACCCTGCTCGCTGGTTAGAGAGCCATTCCCCTCTAGGGGTTGTCTCGGGCTAGGCATGGCCTGCCTCCTGGGTCGGCACCCCCGCTAAATCATTGTAGGACTTGTAATCTAATGGCTGGTGCTGCCCGCATACCCGCCGGGGATGCATCGCTGCTTTGACTCAGGCTGCCACAGGCATGGGGGGAGCAGCCGCTGGCCCCCCAGAATTGCATTGGGGGAGGCTTTTGTCCATGGTGAAGGTCACTAGAACAGGAGTGGGAGGGGCGTTGGAGTAACAGTAGCGATGACAGGAGGCACACGTCGGCTGGGCAGGAAAATGGCTCTGCAGGTTAAAGCCTCAGTGTCCCTGTTGGGGCCTCAGAGAGCCTGGAAGAGAGCGCGCTCCTGTAAAGCACCGGTTCCCAAGCCGTCCCCACCGGGAGCCCCTCCTCGGGCGGCCTGCACGTGCAGCTGCCACGGGTGGGGATGCCGATGCTAGCGGAGAGAAGAACCAGGGCTTCCGTGCAGATGTGACTGACCCTCCGCTGGGAAGCAATGCAGGCCTCCGTCTGTGGGCTGAGCAGGCTGGAGCAAGCTGGCAGGACAAGGCTGAGGTGGCTCTGGAGCTTGCTGCACATGGACAGACAGATGCTGACAGCAAAGGGCAAATGCCCTGTGGGCCTCCTGTGCTGGTGTGGATGATGCTGTAATGTCACCTGCCCTGGGGTCATGGCGCTGTCTCACACAGGCTGCCTGGGTTCTCTGCTCTTCCTGACAATCTTGGTGCAAGCTGCTGACTCTTTGATCTATGGCCAGGGCGGGGGAGCTCAGCGTCTTGCTTGGCGGCTGTGTTGAAGGTAATTAACTGAAGTGTGGCCGCCCGTAACGCCTGTCAACCTCCCTTCTGTAGGGTATGCCTGCCGGAGTGTTGCCACCTCTTCTTCTCTTCAGGGTAAGTGTAAAGACGCTGCCTTGTGGCGTTTCCTGCCCACGGCCGGGAAGGATGTGACTCTGAGATGACGCGTTGCTTCTTGTCTACAGCTAGAACTCACGTTAACTACGATGTCAAAGGGGACGTCGCGGTTGTACGCTTCAACTCGCCAAATTCCAAGGTATTGTGTTAGTTCCCGGGGCCCGCTAGGCAGTGAGGGAGCGAGTCCAGAGCAGGCATCAGCCATGACTGGAGGGGCAGATGGTTTAGACGAGGGGGCATGCCGTGACACGTGAGAAGGAAATAGCAGAGAAATGCATTTCAACCCACCCCAGGGACATGTCTGTAGAGTCGATGGTCGATCAGCCCTGGAACCCTCTGCCATAGGAGCTGTGGCACGTAGCACGCAAAGGTGTGATTGGCTCAGACACCCTCTTGCTCTAGTGAGGAGCCAGCCACTGGCTGATTCCCTTCCTCATAGCTCATTAGGAGGTTTCCCCTTTGAAGCATTGGCAATGGCCCCTAGTCTAGGTGGATCGCAATCCCTGTGTTCCTCTGGCACAGACGGTAGCAGAGCGCTGACCCCCCTGCTCCCCGGGACTTCCCAGGCTGGGCATCCTCTCCCCTGCAGGAAGCCAGCGCATGCAGGTGGAGCGTCTCCCTGCTCTGGGTGAGGTTTACAGGGAGGAGGTGGATGTTTCCAATCCTCCTGCCGCTCAGCTGTGCTCTTGTACGGTCCTTTCCCGTGGGCAGCAGAAAGGGGTGCGCCCCGTCATCCCTCTGCGTGCACAGTGTGCGCTTGCTGTCCGCAGGTCAACACCCTGTCCAAACAGCTGCAGTCCGAGTTCACAGAGATAATGAACGAAATCTGGGCCAACGAGGCTGTCAAAAGCGCTGTGCTCATCGAAATCTGGGCCAACGAGGCTGTCAAAAGTGCTGTCCTCATCTCTGCCAAGCCAGGCTGCTTCATTGCTGGGGCTGATATCAAGTGAGTGTTGGGAGTCACAGCCGGCGCCTGGCACCGTGTTGGCTTTTGAGCAGAAGGCTCCGTGACGTGAGCTTGCTTCCTCAGTAGTGAGGCAGCCGCCTGATCCCCAACTGGCCCCGTGCCGGGGGGGGCTGGGAGCCGATGGCTTGGAGGGGGGAGTCCCCTGTCCAGGAGCTGTTTAAGCCAGGCTCCCAGGCCTGTGCTCTGCAGGTCAGACTGGCTGGTTGCAGAGGTCCCTGCTCGCCCCTACATTCTCCCCCATTGCCAGCACTTCCCTGAATGCGGAGGTGCAGTCGGGGGAGCCAGCTTCCTGCCTGGTTCCAGGAGCCAGGCCGCCTGCCCGGCTGAGCGCTGGAGGCTCGCGTAGCAGCGGACGCGCACATTACTTGCGCCGGCAGGTTGCTGCCTTTTGGTCAGGCGGCGTTTGGGAGCCTGGGTGCTTGCAGGTCCCAGGCCAGCCCCGCTGCCCGCACGCCCCGGC